TCATCAAACCATAAATGGTTTTCTTCTCATGAATATGCAAACACACCCCCAAGCCAATCAAAATATCATCCTGTTTTGGCACACATCATAGCTTATGCACACAAATGTATGTTCATGTGTCTCCAGGACGTTTGTGAACTCACATGGCCAAATGTGTTAATTTGTGTGTTACGCCCCACCAGCACATCACTAAAATATAGCAGATTGCAGTCAGTTTAATTTTTTGGTACTGAAAATCATACCTCTGGGATTAATAATTGCAATATTGTAGAGTCATAATTGCCATTTTGCCTGGGTGAAATGTAATTTTATGTTAGCAACATGAAAACATTTGATGAAGGAAAATCACTAATATTTTTTTTTTATCTGACCCTTTCTATGACTTTAATTACCTTCAAAAAGGTAGAAAAAAACATATACTATGGCTTTATTTTGATCTCACTTATATTCAATTCGGTATTCTCCTTGGAGTCTCATATTACAGCTCGTCTAGACATTTGATTTCTACTCACCAAAGACAAATGTAAATGTTTACGTACTTCAGTGTTAACCACAGCCACAAACCCAGCCTCAGGGGGTCACAAGCTAGTCCCAGTACTGGTCCCAATCTCGGGATAATTGGGAGGGCTGTATCCAGACGTGTTTCCAGTATAAAATCTTTGCAAAATCAAACATGAAGATCCATCCACTGTAGCCCCTGTGGAAACATGGAGCGACCCAGATACCTTTATCCGATAGCCACATTACTCATCTTTTATTGTTAAAGTCTTATCATTAAAGTAGCAGCTAACAGCTATGGATAATAGTAAAACAATAACATTTTTGTGGGAGTTAGTCAGGAAACACTGTCCTCACAGCTTTTGCCCTTATAATAGATATAATAAATAACGAGCCATGTCACCAGAGGCATCACAGCACACGGTACACAATACAGGACCCTCACAGAAAACCCAAAATATTGTCTTTTTTGGTTTGTTGGTATTACCTAAGACTGATCTAATCGAATCTTAAAATATTTGTGTTATATACATTATATGTTAATATTTAATTTTTGCACTGTGTCAGTCAACTTAAACATACTGTTATCACTGATATTGCTCTAATTAATTACTTTTTAACTGTTATTTACCTATTTAGTTTATTTTTTTGCCCAGTGATATGTAAAATAGTATTTAAGCTAGCCCTAGTTGCTGCTGTGTGGGTTCTGCTGTACAGAAGGAGAAACACCAGCTTTTACAGAGAGCAACATTATGTAAACTTTCATTCATATCAACCCCAGTATAGGTATCTGTATAAAATCAGTAAACTACACATATATAAAACTTTCCCTGACACTTCTGAGTTACCTTCTTTAACAGAACATGGAAGCTAAAAATGGGCAACTATAAGCTGCTGCAAGAAAGAATTTGTTGAAATGTATTTTTCTTGTTTATTTTTTGCTTGTTTAAAAAAGTTGTATAATTTAAGTCCTGGGGCTCCACAGTCCAATTAAAATAACAACCTTGCTGAGTAATGCAGTAAGTAAAAACTGTCTGTTGCTCATCTTTTTCTTTTTTAAAATTCCCTTTCTGTAGAGGACACTGTGTCCTGTGGCCTTTCTTTTTTTGACACCATTATATTTTAAAACTGACCAAACCCTAAGATCATGACTTACATATAACATGTCATTGTTTGTATATACTGTATTACAGCAGTGAGATTTGTGTACGGTTCATTTGACGTACCTGTTAAACGTGTTGTTTCCCTGTAATAAAGCTACAGGGATAGTGTTGTCATTTAAACGATTAGCCCCCTGACTTGAATTGACATGAACATTAGACAATGGGAACATGTGAAAGATGCAGTCATTAACTTATTGGATCTTTTATGCCTTTAGGTTGAAATCACTCCCATTTGCTCACTGCTGAACATCCCAGGAGCTTGTAGCTGTCAAAAAAAATGTATCGTAATATACCCTACTCTTTGCTAATATACATACTCCCTTGTAGTATTTTATTAATTAATAGCATCAAATCCAGATTTTGGCAAGCCAAACTAATAAAAGAGTAGGTGGTTTGGATCTAAATGCACTTTATGAAGCTCTGCCAGTAATGCCATTTTGTGGATTTTTTTCAAATTAACAAACACTCATTTGTTTAACCCGTGCCAAGAATTTTCAGTTTACCAGGATAACTATTCCTTCATTTTACACGACTCTTGACATAGCTGTCATCCATTATCAGCCAGTCACAAAGATGTCACCAGAAGGACCAAGCCACGAACTGTTAAACAGCAATCTATCATAGGCAGAGGACGTGACACTGTCAGTTTCAGATGAATACGTCTGTCACTGTGGCAATAACTCATTGAACTTACGATTCCTGCTGTTGGTGGCGGAAAACAAGGCAGACAATGACCTTGTGCTGGAGATGTTAGGCTCTGACACCTATTGGCTGTAATTGCTTGTCAAGCAGCAGACATGGGGTTTGACAGAATGGTCAGGCAGTGTAATCCAGGTGTTAGCAGTGTTAATATAGGCACCATTAAACCCTGATGGAAAGCTAGAGGAATAAACTGTGACCTTTGTGTTCCTGCTGTCCCAAGCTACATGCTCTAAGGTTCTTACCATCAACCCGTATGGTTACCAAAACTCTGTTGATGATGGTGGACGGGATTTCTTTGAGGGAATATCTTATGAACTCTATTTGGTACAATTCTAACTGATGTGATCAAAATATGGACTGGATCAGTTTACGTTACCAAACCTTTGAAAAACAAGTTTTAATTTTCAACCGAAGGTATTGTATATGTCACAATCACCGCTTACCTATGTTTGCCTCATATAACCATCGACCTTACATCACGTTTCCTGTCGACCCCTCCAAAAATGATAAATTGCTACTTTTCGCCGCATCATTGTTGCGTTAATTTGTCATTTATGTTCGTAAGTTTGTTAGCTTTAATCTGTTTTTTATTTCATGTTTTATTTTAGCATCACGTTGGTATCTTTTACCTCTTCACCATTGTTTTTTTATCTAAACTTGCAAGAAAGCAGATACCCATAATTAAAATAAATAAATAAACTGAAAGGTCGCTGAAGATTTAAGACATAATGTTTTGGTTAAATATGCAATTTATGTAATATGTAGTTATTAAATGAAACTTTGAAACTTTTAATTGGAAAACATTATATAAACCCTTTCAAGCTCTGTTGGTTGCTTGAAAGGGTTGAACGTGAGACAACTGCTTTGTCCCTATCTGATTTAAATGAGGTAATATATCAGTATGAGGTAAAGTATGTGATTTATTTTTATTTCATGATTCAGCTAAACAAAAGATAAAATATTGCCAAGATTTTACATAAATCTTGCTGGAATAATTTCCATTTCCTGGGACACTAGTTTTCACTCTGAATAATTTATCTATTACTTTTTTCTTTAAAAATGATGATCAGTACATACACCGAATAGAGAAGAGTAATTAAATGAGAAAGCTTTCCATCTGTGTCTCATGCTTTCAGTCACCTTCCTCATTCTGGTCCATTATGACTGAATTCATAGGCACTCTTGACCCTGCCAGAGTCAGTGCAATTATCCTAATGAGGTGTGGTAAACCTTTTTATACCGTCTCTCTTCTCACTGTCTCTGCTACTGTGTATGTGCTCTTTTGTGTTATGAGTCACTTTTCAACTCTGATGGCCAATGTGTTCATCTTTCCACACACACACAACTGTGTGCACAGCCACTCCTTTCGATTTCTCCTCTTGGATTTCACATGGACAGACAGAAGAACATGCAAGAAAAAGAAAGTGACTGAGCGCTCCAGCATAATTAGTTGCTGGCTTTTTACATTCCATATAGCCTTGGTGTACATCTCACCCTCATATCTTTATATCAAAGGGTATCAAAGGATATAAAGATAAGTCTACATTAAGACATCAGACTCCAGAGTGTCTGGTTTTCTGACCCGAGCAAAATCCAGTTTATGAGGAGAGATCAGAATACATCACTGGGTAATGTGCACTGCTGCAGACAGACAGGAAGAGATCAAGCTGGAGATATGCAGGTTAAAGACACATAATCAAAATGTTGGCTTTTAGAGTTTAAGATGAAGAATAACACACGGGCTGAATTGAAGAGGAGCTGCTCTCATGAGTCTGAAATGGTAGGGTGAGGATGAGCTTTCGGTGCAACATTTTCAATAACTGTGCAAGTTAAACTTATAAAATCGCACTGCCTCTCAATAAATTCATAGTATGTGCATGTGTGTGCCAAATTCTGGAACCATTATGCGCGTGCAGTTTTTGAGTAATTTAGCAGTCTTTCACTGGAACAATTTTTGGCAACGTGATAGCATCCCACCTGTGACAAAATTTTATCGGCCTGTATTTGAGATCAAAAGGAAGAGAGATTCCAAAGATGGGTCTAATCCAACTCATGAGCATTGGTTAGTTAAATTAGAGGTACTATTGAGTCCTGCTGGGTTGGAATTAATTTAATAAATGAGTTGGTTTAAAACTGAAACACACATCAAAAATAGGGACACACAACAAAGTTCAAAGAGTTTTGACTTCATTTATCTTTGGATAGGAACTTAAATTGTACGTATTGGAGCATTGGCCATGACCAACACCAAAGATCATAGATGGGCTGACGTTCTGTATTACAGTCTTCCTTGTAATCAAAATTCATTACTATACAAGTAGTTTTTTTGACAGCCTTGCAAAGAAAAAGAAAAAAGTGATATTGAGGCTCCTACACACAATACAGAAGTTAAGAGGAAATCCTCACAAATCTGTTTGAGGACTTTTGCATTGTTTGCCACTTTGCTTTTGATCTTCATTGTAGTCAAGTGCATAGTGACAGTTGTGCAAAACAAGAACACAGCCAAAATCAGCAACAGTGTGGTGAGCCAGAAGAGCTGGAGGCTGTATGATTAATATGCGTGCTGTTATGCAAGCTTCATGTACTCACTGTCCAGCTTTCATTCATCTCCTGTCTCACGTCTGTCTTTTCACTCAGTGCTGGGAGGCGTGGAGTCACGTGGTGTGCTGAGAAAGATTAGCGACATGTTGGAGGTGATTCTAAAGAGGATGGACAGTTTGTCCAAACTCGACAACACCTCCACCACTGACGCAAGGCGCCTGGATGAGCTCAGCTCTGCCATAAACAGGTACAGTATGTTTTTTCAGTTCTTTTAGTTCTTCTTACAGTTCTTGTGTGTTAACGGTTTACTCTATTCAGATCACCTCTCCTACGTAATGTCCTTCATAAATGTTTATAGTGATTATATATTAATAAATACAGGTTTATGTTATGTTTTTTGTCTTCGAAACTGCATCTGCCATCAATCATTAATCAACATACAAAGGTTTCTTCCTATAAAAACACTGTTACCACTGTTATCAGTCTGAGTTTTATACTTCGTATACATATGAAGTTCGGGGAATAGATTAAAAAATATATAGTACTGTACTGTGCAAAAGTCTTGAGACGCCCATCATTTCTTTATGTTTTGCTTCCAAGGAGCCAGACTTTGTTGTAACCACTTTTAACACTTTAAAAGGCCTTCTGAGGGCCCTTCAAAGTGTTTTTCACTCATCCTCAGTTTAATTCGTATATCTGACCATTTTTAGACAAAGGGTCTTCTTTGTATTTTAGCCACTCACCACCGATCTACAACATTAAACGTCATTAAAGCATAAAAAGCAACTAATACGAAGGATGAGCCAGCGTTGAAAAGAACCAATTTTAATAAACTCCCGGAGAGCAGCCATTTGGCTTTTCTACCTTTAAAACCCGGAGAGCAGCCAAATGGCTGGTAGGCTTTTAGCTAAGCTTTAGCTTCAGCCAAGTGGAAGCTAAATTGGCTAGTCATTCATATGTATATTAGGTTGTTACCTGGGAATTCTGGAGGGAGGGGAGTGGGGGT